GTGCAGAGTATAGCGTTACTGCTACGATCGTAATGGAGTGCGGTGGTACGGTGCGTATGTTTGCTAAGCCCCCCGGAGTAATAGTGCAGCGAGTGTTTATACCAGCCGCTGTTGCTTTACCTCCTAGGGAGCAAATGCTAGCGGAGCTGTCTTCTAAAGTTTATCCTGTGCAGCCGTTCATTGATTATTCTGAGAACGGTTGCGTGGGAAGATACTTTCTAAGGCCTGAGATGCGACCGAGAGATCGTTATGATTTCCCGAGACTAGCGATACCATTAGTTGGTGCAAGAGAACAAGAAAGTGTAAGAATATACATTGGAGGAAATCTGAGACGTCTAAACTTAGTCGTCAACCGCACAGGTTCCATAAATGATATAATAATAAATGAGGATGAACAGGATATTGTGCATTCGAAAGCTCTGAGTTATTCCTTGGTTGGTCGCCATGTTAAAAAGGCTTGGAGTAGAAGAAATGACGATAACGGGAAATTTTATAAAAGACTTTTCCCTATCTGTCACGTTAGTGAACCTGAAGATTTAGTGCGTTCTTGCGAAAATATCAATAGACTTTTTGCGAAAAGAATGACTGATGAATACAGACATTTGATAAATCATGGAGATATAGATAGATTTGAATATGAGACGGTAGGTCGGTTATTATATATACTGTTCTACTTACATGAGTTAAGAAATGGAAAGAGTAAACCTCTAAAATTGACCATATTTGCATTGTGCACATTGGCCAATTGTGAGGAAGAAGTTATGTTTGTGCATTTTTTAAGCCACATTATCATGTGGTTGATTGTTGACACTTGTGATAGTTGTTTAGAGAAAGTATTGTTTGCTGGCAATGACGTCAGATTTCAATACAGCTTGATTAATTTCGAAGTGGATGGCGAAAGAGGCGTAAGCCTCAGTAAAGCCGAAAATTTGAGTTATTCGATATATTAGTATATTGGCTACACCTACACCAAATACCAGGCAAGAAGTACAAGATTTGCAAGAAGCACAAATAGATGACCAACGAATAAATTTTTGGAAACATACCCTGGATAAAGTATTGCATTTCACCAGAAGTTCTTCTGAGCCTGCAGAAAGTGCTTCCAGCCAAATAGAAAATTATCTGAAACTGCTATACGAAAATATCAACAGTGACCCAATTACTTACTGGCACAAGCATGGACACACTATGCCAGAATTACGAAAAATCAGTTGCAAGTACCTGTCAATTCCTGCCACATCTGTCCCAGCAGAAAGAATATTTTCAAAAGCTGGACAGATTATGTCCGAGAGAAGAAATAGACTATCGGAGAAGAATTTAAATATTCTCATTTTCTTAAACTTCAACCTGCAAAATAAAAGATAATAGCAGTGTATATACGTAGAATTAATAATCAAAACATTAAACATACGTAAAATTAATAAGTGGTATAAACAATGATCATACTTTTCTTGTGCGGTATATAGTGTTAGTTTTAGATTATTTTATATGGAGTTGGACTTATAAACTTATTCAGCATCTACCCCCATGGTACTAAAGGATGAATATCGCGTTTTATGGGTACTGATTGCAGCCCAACTGGAACGTTATGTACAAAATGACCTCCAGGCGAACAAAACTTACTCCTACCCCTTTATCACGGGCGGTATTGTCTGATGATCCTCAAGAGGCATATAATATCCTTGCCGATGATCGTCGTTCCGTTGTTAAGACGAAGCCAAAACCTTCATCAGGTTCAAGAAATGCTTTTCAACGCACACGAGTTGATAAGTTGCGAGCTACACGCTCGGCTGCATCATCCGCTGAGTTTGATGATGATCTTCGTCGAAAACTGACTTCTAATGCTGCTAGCAACCAGACTGCTTTTGAAAGGCTGGAAGAATTCAATACTTTTAAAGCAATAACACTATGCGTCACAACGCGTGGCATTGGATTTGGATGCGTTACATCTTTTATTTCATTTATCGAATTACCACATGTTCCAACCCGCGGTTCAATTCATGAACTTTATCGCATAGCACTTTCCATCTTTGAAGTCAGAATCTGTGACATACAGAATAAGACAAACGCGATTGAGAATGATTGTAAATACTATGCTACAATCAATCACTCTACTCAATTTATTCAGATGTGTAGATCCAGACCATATCTCCCGGCACCACTAGT